AGTTACCTTTTGGAAAAGCATTGACCCACTACCTTCCATAGCAGGAATAGTTTGTATAATAGGCTGGACACTGTAATCATGAAGTCATGAAACAATCTAAAGCACAGTAATGCCTTGTGGCAGAAACACTTTCATTTCCCTTGTTCCAAGGAGCCAGTATGTTACTTTGCTTTTTCCCAAGTCACAGCAGGATTTTCAGGGTGGTTCTTCTATTGATTTTTTGCATATCTGCTGTGCTTTGCAGATATTTCTTTTGATACGTGCTGTGTTCTGCTCCTGTGGGCTGGTATATTAATAGTGTTTGATTTTAAGCACTTCCATGAATCATGTTGCCAGCTACATTTAGCTGTTCCTATTACAATACGTAAACCACCACAAGCCAACCAATTGCTATTCCTATTACAATACATAAACCAAATGCTGTGGTAGTGGAGGCCAGAAGAAAGAATTAGGGGAGGAGATCGAAAGGTTTGAATCCTTAGGACATCACCTACAAAACACGTCTGTTACTCACCTGTGCATCAGTTCTGGCAGTATATATGTATAGTATGTGTATTTATAGCAACATTTTTCAGGCTTCCTGATTTAATGATTGCCAATGTTTGGAGCAATAAATCATTATTAATGTGTTAAGTTTGTCAGTAATCCACTGAGCAAAGCACAGGGAGGAAAGGTAGGGAAGAACCCTTCAGATGTAAACACCACTTCTTGCAGTGAAAGAACCTTGAGCAGGATGAAAAAGCAGAGTGAGGCTTCCTTGCCCTAAGGGAATAACTCTGTGTTTGTCTCTGGTGTGACCAGTCACTTTTTATGTGTCTCCTCATTATTCACTGGGTTGGATCACTGCCCACAGGGATGGGTTTATGGAGTTTTGTGTCAGTGGAGTGCTGTGCTCCCCGAGGGCTGCACTGGAGGCAGCTCTCACACAGGCACTCTTACAGGTTTTACTGTTGAAGGAAATAGCGCCAGCAGCTCTGCAGAGTGCAGGCATTGTGCTGCTGCCTCTCAGCATGAGGGAAGATGCAGGACAACAGACACGGAAAAGGAGGCAGCCAGGACAGGAAAAGCAAGGCCTTAAATGGAGAAACAGCAGCACTCACCTTCTTCCATGGCTACAGATGTAATGATTTTGTCTGCTTTGCTTCAGCCCAAGAGCAGTTCTATCATGAGGTCTGAATGTTTTATTCTGAAAGATGGATCCTTGTCCTCACAGTGGTTCTGAGCAACTGGGAATATGTCCTTGATATCCAGCCCCCTTACACATCAGTTGCAGTGGCAAGCTATGGCATCTTTCTTTGTGTTCCCAGCCTCTTTGCTTCTTCGATAATGCCAACTGATGCCTGTTTTTATCTCCCTCCCCCCTGTTATAAAAGCCACTTTCCTCAGGAATTTTTCATTCACTCTTTACTCATTGATGCAAGCACACCAGTGTTCCTTGAGCTAAACCACACAGGGCAGCTTCATCCCCTTACAGCTGTGTAGAACCTCACACTTAGAGATACTGAACTCTGCTGGAGCTTTTCCAGGGGCTCTCGTCACTTCAGCCCTTTCAAGCTCTTTATCATGCTGCCCCCGGCTATACTCTGGCCCTTGTATTTATTGATCACTTTCCTTCCAAAACGTGCTGATATTAGCAAACGTTAATACCATTTGCATTCCTTTCTCCTTAGAGTTTCAAATCACTGTCTCGTATTGGTTTCCTGTTATGCTTGGAATGAGCTCAGCAATGTCCAACTTACTACGTTTCTCATGCAGGGGCATCTTGATGGTGCTGTTGATCATCATTACTGAGCAGTCCTGAGCTCCTGGTTGATACTTCCTGATTCCCAGGTGGTTATAAGCAGTAGTGCTTGTAAAATGCTTCATAAGATCAGATCTAGCAATCATTCTTATCTATAAACATGTGATTCACTACAACCCCTCAGCCGAGGCCCCGAACAGCCTCTATAAGAAGGATTTTACCTCTATATCCTACATTTTTTTGGATCCATTCTTCAAAAAACGATATAGACTTACAAAGCACAGGAGCTGTAGAGCAGAAGATAATGTACAATTAAATATAAACTCATTCCAGACAAAAAAGAGCCACACTCACTTGTTGCAAGACCAAGTTTTGTATCTAAGTACTGCCCTCTGCTGCTCAGGGGTTTTCATTAAAATATAGTTAATTAAAAGAGTTGCAGCACTTCTTTTTAATTAAAATGTTGCTATAGGTTTGCTTGGGAGAAGCCAGCTCTGGAGCTTCTTACTTAAAAGGAAAACCCATATTTATCCCTTTTTACAAACATAAACCACCTGTGTTCTTATGGTAACAGAGAAAATTTGTGTTTTGTCAGGCACAAAGGAGATGTACGCATCTTCTCAGGCAGAGAAGTGGTAGAGGAAAAGAGAATTTTCAAGCAATTACAACCTCCAGAACTAACCTTAAAATCCTTCAATCTGAATTAGGACCCCAGGAGAACAAAGGAATAGAATGATTTCAAATTGCAAAACTGCAAAAGAGCACCTACTCCCAAAGCAAAGGCAATAGGATTGATCCCAGATGCTCCCTGGTGACTCCTACTGCTAAAGACAAAATCTGGGCTCTTCAGCCAACAGAGAATTTCAGCACAGACCCAACCAATTGGGGAAAACGAAGCATTAGAAATGGCCTCTGGGGCAGGTGGGATCCCTTGTATCCTAGAAGGGTTTCTACTGCTTTGAGGAAGAGGAGAGCTTGGATAGAGGTTTACATTTTGGAAGTGTTTTGGGGCTTCTTTTTAGCATATTGCAGGTAAATATTTTTAGTGGTTTTTATTGCTTTAGTCTTAGGAAATTGCTGGTATTAGTTGTAACATTGCTTTGATGGTGTACTGCTATGTAGGTGTTAAGTAGTGGATTACAGAAGGATATTGGCTTCTACAAGTGGTGTACCTGTTTAAACTATCAGTTTGGTTTGGAGAGCCCTGTTAGCCAAGTTAATGCATGTTCTGCAGAGCATGTAGATGTTTTCAGTGCAAGTAAACTATGATGTGTTTCTTCATAAACAACAGCTATTTTTCTCCTTTGTTGCATTTCTTACTTTAAAAAAAGCTTGGTTCAGCTGTTAAGCTTTTAGGTGGAAAACCTCCTTTTCTTCCTCTCTGTTTTTGCTGTGAAGCTTGCTCTGATGTGCATTTACTAAGTGGTAGGAGACTAAGGGAACTCAGTTGCCCAGGTGGAAAACTGTGTTTGTCATAGTTCAACAGCTTTTGTTTTGTTAGGGCCCACGATAGAGCAACACTGATGCTGTGGGGCTGCATCTGATGAAGTCCCTCTTGCTTCTGTGTTCTGAGAGCAAAATCTGCAGTGCAGGCTGAAATACTGCATGTTCCTAAGCTTGCTTAGCTTGCAGATTCTACTGTGTATCAGAGACTTATTAATAAGATTCCCTTCCTGTATGTTTCTATACTAATGCCATAGTTCTTGAGTAACTACTTTAGTGCATTAAAGCACGATTTCTAAAACATTTAGAGCCCTCTTTTCCTACCACTCTGGTTCCTGTGGCTATAATTATAGAGGGAGATTCTAGTTGCCAATGAACTTTTCCTTGCTACCTCTTATTATGAGAGGCATGTGGTTGAGCAAGCTTGCTTTTGACATCTTACTAACCATGTAGTAATACTTGTGGAGGGTGGATTTGTTAACCCTGGCTCCAGGTCTTGCAACTCAAATGCTGTGGAAACTTTCCCCCCTTATGTGTACTGTAGCACTTCAATTAGAGGAGTAGTACTTCAGAGATGCTGCTGGCCTGAGAGCCTTTTAATGTCTCTGACTGTGATTACTACAGAGCATTTGCTATACAGATTGGTTTTTACAGTGTGCCTATTCCAAAGAGAGCACTACAGTAGTTCTCTATTAATAATGTGGTGTACCAGCCTTGAAAAACATCTACTTAGGTGTGTGTGCATATATATTCTTGCGTATGTAATGTTTTGGGTCTGTGTGCTTCTAGTGCTTAACTCTGATAACCAGTAGGTAGTTACTGCTTCCTTGGGATGAGTTGACCTATTGAGTGGGGTGGTAAAGGGATTTTTTCAGGGCCCATACTTAAATGGGTTTGTTTGCACCTACTGCTTAGTCACATGTGCAGTGACTTCACTGCAGAGGAATTCCTTTGGAGTCATTAGTTAAATTGATCCTGACTGTTGTGTAATTGTATGGCCTTTTGGAAGTGTCTTTGCCAGACATAGAAAGTACTAGAAGCAGTAGTTACAACTTGGTTTACTCAGCTATTACCTTAAGTAGGATGAGGGTTTGGATAGTTGGGCAGTCAGTAACATCTTCAATTCACTCTCTTGCAGAGAACCAGCACAGGCAGAAAAAGTTTTATCCGTGATATAAGGACACCTCCTTAAAGAAACGGAACTGAATTGTTTAGGACTCTATCCTGGACAAGTTCTTTTTCTATAGAGCTGTTTCTATGTAGTCATTGTTTAATTATCACAAGGTTATGAAGAAGGTACTGATACTCTGTGCAGTGTTTGGCTTTAAGCTGAACATTGAGATGCTATGTTTGGGTGTGGCTGTTCTCTGCTTTGTTATGGCATGTCTTAAACCTGGTTTTGGGATGGGGGGGAGGCAGAGCCTTTTTAATGTTAAAGGCAGAGCAAAGGGCTGGGGATTTATCATGCAGATCAGATGCTAGAAGCTGGATTGGCTCAGCTGGGGAGAAGCGCAGGTTCTGCCCTCCCCTTACGCTCTGTTCCCACAAGCATCTCCCCTGTAAGCTGGCAGAGGGGCTCAGAAAGCTCTGGTCTTTTCTCCTCAGGCACTAGTGAGGGCTCAGCAAAAGTTCCACAGCAAAGTACAGAAGCACCAGACCTCTCGTTGGGCTGCAATTCCTAAACAAGCTCAGCTTTGTCAAGACCAGGAGCTTTCTGGAATATGCATGGGGATGAGAAACAAATAGCACAGGGTGAGTGCTGCCTGACACAGGGAATCCAGCTCACAGCTCTGGCTTGTCTCCTCCTCTCTTTCAGAACAAGAACATGGGGGACATGACACCAGCAGAGGAGATGGAGCTCAGGCCTCCTTGCTGCCATCTGTTTGACTGCAGCATGAGGAATGAAGCAACAAGACTGAGGACTTTTCGGCAGTGGCCAGCAACCTCACCTGTATCTCCTCGAGATTTGGTCAAGGCTGGCTTTTTCTTTGTGGGTCCAAGAGATGAAGTACAGTGTTTCTGCTGTGGTGGTGTCCTGAAGGACTGGGCACCTGGGGATTGCCCGGTAGCAGAGCACCTGAAGTTCTTCCCTTTCTGTGAGTTCATTTGTGGTGAGGATATTAGGGTCCAAAAGATGTTTCCTCTTCCGGTTGTCTCGGATGCTGTAGATGGGCAGTTCCTCAGCTTTTTGCACGGGATAGAAAGAGAGGAGGCAGCTCTGCCCTATGAACCACACTCCCCAGAGATGGTGACAGAGGAGGCCAGGCTATTGACATTTCGGAACTGGCCACGATATGCTGGCGTGCATCCTGAGGATCTGGCTAGAGCAGGATTCTTTTACACAGGTAAGTGCTTGGGGGAAACGTGTTTAACTCTGATCCAAGTTAACTGTTGAAGGTGTCACTCTGTTTTATTGCTTGTGCAAATACTTGCAAGTACGTGTAGCATAGCTAGAAACCCCATCCTTCCTCCAGCCTGGGCTGCTTCACTTGTTGCCCATGCAGAATTCACTTCTATGTTAACTCCTGTTTGGGTACTGAGGGGTCCACTGGTAAGTCAATGCCTTTACCAGCAGCAGTGGAAAAAGCGGCATGTTTTAAACAGTTATTTACTGGCAGAAAAGTGTGTGCTTTGAGATTTATTGAGCCTATTTATTACTGGCACTTCTAAAAGGACTTGAGGCACTTGCTCGGCATGTCATGTTTTGTGTAAGCTCTGTCTTGCACTGGTGTCTTCTCAAAAACCCAAACCTTGAGGTAATGAGTCCATTTGACTGGCTTGTTGCTGTAAGGACCCTGGGCTGGTAATATAGAAGTAAAAAAGATCCTTTTTTTAATGAGGAGAATAGGCAATGCTAATCACATGCATCTGAGTATCTATGTTTTTACCCTTGAGAAGGCTTTGCTGGTTTAGATAACAGGTTTGTAGAAGTGCTTTTCCCTGCATTGACCAGTCAGAGGAACATGGGGGAACATGCTTGACTGTAAATACATATTGGGGGACCCTTCAGGCTTTTGAAAGCTGCTGGTAGAGTGTTATTTGTGTGATTACATCTATATGGAGGAATCTCCTTGATTTGTATTTGCACATCAAACTGAGACATGTAAGCAAATGACAGGCAGGGTCCATAAACTAAAGGTCCCCCAGCAGAAACAAACCTGCTTATCTTGTACTCCTTGAACTCTTGTTGAAACAAAATTCAATTGCCCCTTTCTCCACTGAAGTCCTATTTGTTGGTTAAGGTGGGAATGGGCTAAAAACCCCAGCCTTAAATATTGTGATAGCTGGAAAAAGTCTGAGATGCAACGTGGTGAGTGACACACACATAGGAGAGTGCCTAAATAAGTGACCTTCTGTTCCTTTAGCCTGAGTTAGAGGAAGTGGCTGGTCAGCTTGCTGTTATCTCTGCTTCTGCAAGGCTTTTCACTCAAACTGCATGATCTGGAATAAACTAATAACCTGAATAAACTATAAAGCAGTGTCTGCAGCTCAGAACCTGTGTGGTTTGTGAAGGACTTGATTTGGTGCTTGCAGAGCAAGCCTTTGGCTTTCATTTCTTCCTGTGTGGTTTCTGTGGAGAGAAGCATGGTAGAGAATGGGTAATGTGGGACCATGTTGTGGGAAATCATTGTACCTATGAGATGGAGGCTGGGTACATCATCTGCCTGTGCCTGCTGCTGGTTATGGCAGATTGTGCTGAGGAAATGAGTATATCTTTAGGTACAATTAACTACAACTCTAAATGCAGGCAAGAAGGGATTGGATAGGTACGTGCATACATGGGATCTGCGGGGCTCACGTGCAGGCTGCCTGTTAGCTTGTGACCTGGTTCTGGAATCACCTCAACCAGCTGCAGCTCTGGGAGTTTAAACTCTCATCACATTTCCTGCCCTATACAACTTGCACAGTGATAGTAAATTGTCATGTGCTCATCTGTTCTGTCCAGCAGCTTGTGTTTCGTGCTGGATCTCTCCCCAGGCTCACACCCAGGGCTGGTAGAGCAATACAGCATCTCTGATGTCCAATAATCTCTCTGTCTTTTTCAGGACAACGTGATGTAGTGAGGTGCTTTTACTGTAATGGAGGCGTGAGGAGCTGGTCGTTTGGAGATGATCCTTGGTGGGAACATGCCAGATGGTATCCAGGGTAAGTCAGTCTTGGTTGACAAATGTCTCTTGTTGCAAGACCAAAAGATGTGCCATGTGTTCCATGCTGATTTCTTCCTTCATAAGAAGGGGGGAATCATGAGCCTCTTACTGTTTCCCTTTACGTATAGAGTGGGGAAAACCCCATAATACTCAGTCTTCTTTAATGGACGTTTGCTCATAACCTCATAGCACCCTTCTAAAATTCAAACTACTGCTGCTTGAGAGATCCTGTACTAATGCATTTCAATCTTTCTGCTTATAGGTGTGACTTCTTACTGCGGACAAGGGGGAGAGACTATGTTAGCAGTGTTCTGGAGTCCTTGCCTAACATCTCACCTCCAGTGAGTCATGACTATTCTGTGTGTAGTGGATGGAGGGTTGGTAGATATGGGGAGTTCTGAACTCAGGCTGCTTTTGTGACTATCGTTTTCAGAGACATTCCTGGGATCTGCCTGAATGGGATTCTTCTGCTTCCCAAGGTCAGTGCTGTAATGACATCGTGGTGTTCTCTGTTCAGAGTGGTGTAGTCCTGCTTGCTTCTACCCCACCCCAGTGACTGTGCATTCTGTGGACATGGTGCTCCTGGGATGTTTTGATGTTCTAGAAGCTGTTTCACTTTGGTTTAGGAAATGGTCTCTAGAACAAGAAGCAAAACTGCTTGTTCTTGTGAGGCATCTTAGTCTAAGACTAGAGGCATTTAGTCTGGATGATCATGTATGTGGCTTTTGGGTGCTTGCCTAACCTTCCTGACCTGTGCATGCTCTTGATGTGTCTGTCTGTAGTCTTTCACACCCAGCACTTTAAACATCCTTGATAGGAGACCCGAGAACAGCTGGTTATTCATGAAAGTGTTGATCCTGGGGATTATTCCCATTCAGTAGTTGCTCCTGGGAATTGCAGTAGGTGAAATCTGGCTCCCATAAGTGTGGAAAACTGATTTTTCTCATCCTCTTAAAAGCCTATCCCATAGGATGAGCTTAAAGACTGAAGCCTTTCAATGTACTGACAGTTGAATTTCCTGCTTCTCTTTACTGATGAATGGTTAAGCCAGATAATGAGGTAGGAGAGACTTCATGAAAGCAGTTTTGAGACTTCTGGGGTGTGAAAACAAAGATAAAGCTTCTGGACTGGGGCCAAACATGGGAGACTTCTTCACTGCTACAGTAGAATAAACCATCCAAAACTGGTCTCTTGGCTTTTATGAAATTGCTTTTGACTTTCTTGTGAGTTGTGATTGGAAGTAAAAACTAAATCTGGATGTTGCTCTAGCTATATAGATAGCTTGAGGAATGTTCTAGGTCATATTAATGCCATTTAATATAAAACAGCTTCAAGGAGTAGCATACTGCCTGCCCAAAGTTCAGCCTTTTTGGTAGAGTATCTGCTCACTGCTTTACAGATCCTCTGAGGAACTGGGAATTGCAGGCTCTTCATTGCCTGGATCAGTTTACGGTAGTGCAGAATGTCCTGGAGATGGGCTTTGACCTCATCTGGGGGGTTAACCTGGTAGAGAATAAATACATGCTGACTAGGACTTTCTACCTCTCTGAGTCTGAACTGGTTGCTGATCTGCTTCAGTCAGACTGGGAGGAGAGCAGCAGAGGTGTGCCTGACTCACACCTGCCTTCCTGCGGGTGCTTAACCTCTATTTCACTTCATCTTAAGTGCTGTTGAGTGTCTTGTGGCTCTGCCTCCTCTCTTCCTAGGCTGGACTTAAGAGTAGAAGCCTGCCTTTCTTTGAGAGGCTGGAGAATGAGGTTCTGCTTTCAAGAACCCTGCAGGAGCTGTGATTACTGGGGTATAAGTAACTGTATCTGCCTGTGGCGGGCTGTGGTTTGGATAGCCTCAATGCTTTCTGCTGCCCTTAGACTTGCAGTAGCAGACAGGGAGGCTTGTGTGCAATTTCACACCTGATGCAGTTAGCTGAAGCAAGGCTTCTTGGATGGATGAGTATTCCAAGCCTATTCAAAACTGAATCAGTGACTTGATCAGAAAGTCATACATGTTTGTTTGGATAATAGATATTCTCCCTATCTATGTCTATCCTGTGTTACCTGTTTTGTGGAGTCTGTTTGCCAAGTGAAGCTTATTTGAAGATGCAGTTGTACACAGGCTTTCCCTGGTAGGAAATCTGCTTTGCAAAGCTACTGTCTCTGTATCATGGTTTGCTATTTCTTTAGCTAAAGGAAAAATAAATCCCCAAATTTCCACAAAACCAGAAGTGGGATTAAATGGTAACACAGGAGCAGGGATGAGCAGCTGATGGCTCCTGCTGTCTGATAGATAAACCAGCTCTGAGGAGACAATGTGTTGTGGACATGTCTTGGTAGGGAGGTTGGTGTGCATAGTGAGTGAAGCACCACAGAGCATCTTCACCAGCCTGTGTGTGAAACTAACAGCAGAGTAAAGAGGCTGCTGAAATCTAGCACACTTTCATCTCTTAGACCAGCACTGAAGAGGGGGGGAAAGGGGTAGCATTTAATGCCATCTTCTTTCCTGGTTATACAGATGCTGTTCAGAGAGGCACTGGAGCATCAAGTTCAAGAGAAGAAATGCAATCTGTGCAAGAGAAGGAATCAGGTGCACTGGGCTGAAATTGTGTTGGTGAAATTGAGCCTAGGCATAATTGGGATGGATTTTTGTAGTGATGGTACCAGTGGTCATTGTATTTTGGTCTTAATCCTGAAAGGGGAACGTGTGCTAACTTGAATGGTAACTGAGCAGAGACCCTTATTCAGGGTTTAGAGTTCTACCGTGATGCAGACTTACATTAAAACTTTGGTTTATCGGGATAATTTACACATTGTGGTAAAAGATGTTGCTGGGCTGAGCAGGGACGGGGATCTTGTGTAGATACACTCAATCTTGTGTAGGTAAACCAGACTATAATAACTGTAGTTCTTCAGCTTAAATGAAGCTTGTGTGAGATACTTCTGTCACCTTTAGTCAGTCTCTGTACAAAATGCTGAGCTGGTTGCAGTGTCACTGCCTTAGATGACAGGACAGGTCCTTTGGGGCTGTTACAATACTGACAGCTTGGGCTTTTCTTTCTTTTTCTGGGAAAGAGGAGTCTCGGCTCAGCACAGAAGAGCAGCTCCGTCGCCTGCAAGAGGAGAGGATGTGCAAAGTGTGCCTGGACAAGGATGTGTCAGTTGTGTTTGTTCCTTGTGGCCACCTGGTAACATGTGGGGAATGTGCCCTCAATCTGAGGTTGTGTCCTATCTGCAGAGCGGTCATCCAGGACAGTGTGAGGACGTTCATGTCCTGAACCATGATGTGCCAAAGGGGGAAGATAAGTGTATACAACCTGATCTTAACACAGCAGAGGAAGAGTGGTGCTGGAGCAGTTCTATTTGCAGGGTAGCTTGGCATAAGTGTAAAACCTCACTAAATGTGCCTCCAAGGCACAGTGCTTCTAGTAAGAGCTGCTGGTTTGCTGTGCTCCTGCTGATCCTGTTGTACAACTGCTCCAGCAGAACTCTGCTGGTTTCTTTTGTCCTCCAAAAAGAAGCTTTTGTTGACAGATTCTCCTTCTCCAAATTCGTGCATTCTCAAATGAATCCCTGCCCTGTGTTGAAATCAAAGGCTGTTTTCAGTAAACTCTCTAGTTCTTTTTCACTCACTTAGCAGTTGCTCAGAGGTTATTCTGCTAGCTTTGGTGGCTTCCTTCAGTCAGTCAAATGGCAGTATCTTCATACAAAACATGTTCTGTTGCTCCTGAGTATTCTAGTCTCAATCCATTGTGTGGGAGGGAGAATTTAACTTTTCCTTCTGAGCAGTTTGCTGTCTTCCCCCCCTTGTTGAACTGTCAACAGTTGACAAAATGCTTCAGCAATACTCAAATCTGCATAACTAAGTGGAAAGCCTGGCCTGTAGTAGACTCTCCAACCTCTTTACTCTCAGCTGACTGCCCCAGACAGAAGGTGACAGGCTCTTTGGCCAGGGTCACTAGATGATCTCCTGGAAGCTTCTTGCAGAGCTTCTTCCAGGCTGATGGGGTCTATCCTACTATGGAAACTTACCTTTTTAGGACTTCCAGTTGCTGTCTCAATTGGTAATTCTTATTTTAAATGGAACACTCTATCATGTAGTCAAAAAGAGGAAGTTTTGTCAAGCTATGCTTAACTGCAGGGGATGAGAAACCAGGGTTTTTAAATCAATTGTTGTTTTTCATGAAATAAAATCTTTCTTTTTATCTTGCAGAGCTCTGAGTATCTGATTCTAACATAATGTCCTACAGGGGAGGGAGTGTGGTGGTGTCCTGAGATGTTAGAGCAGCATCAGTACTTGTGTCTTTCAGTACTACATGGGTGTGAGTGAGAACTGTTCTTGCTATCCATCAGCTGCTTCTGGAATTCACAAGGCAGCATCTGGGTCTTCCAGACTCCCTTAACTGCAAAAGAAAGGGTAAGGATGCAGGATGAGGACTGCTGCATGCAGCTGTGGAAGTGAGGAATAATTCTGCATCTGAATTCCATGGGAGTTTTGGTACCTGGCTCTTAAAGCCACCTGTGGACACTGGAACACTGGCTCTGGAGTTGCTTCTATTAGGTTCCAGCCCTGGATACTGGACAGGGTTAAAGGCTTGTTTGTTGCTGAGTAACTTTAAGGTGTCAGTTATCCCTGCGCCACATGGGAGGACAGATCTTGCCTTCAGAAGAAGGTAATATTAGTGCAGCTCTTGGCAAAGAGGACAGAAATTACTAATTGAGCAGTCTGAGCTCTTCAGCTCTTGGAGGAATTAATTTGTGGGCCTTTGCCAGGCAGCAGCTTTCTTAGGGAACAGAATTGCACCAATGTGCCAGACTAGGTGTTATGTCTGGGCTCAAGCTCTCCCTGGCTTTATTTTACCTCTGTAAATAACAAAACCAGTTTAAGTAGAGGTGCTAATTTGATAATGTGAAAGACAACCAGCTCACTGTTGGAATATTTTATTTCCTCCTAATATTTAGCTCAGTGTGGCTGGAATCTTGCCTGAGCATCATCAGGATTATAAGGCTGCAAATGTACCGGCTGCTCCTGGTGCTTCTCTTATTTAACACTTTGGAAACTGTGACTCTTCCACATCTGGAAGGATGGAGCATTTTTCTGTGGGAAGCCTTCCCTTCAGAAACAGGTTTTTTTTGGCTAGTAGTCTCTCAGGTGCTGCCTATCCCCAATAGAGGGCACTCCGAACCTGGAGATAAGAGGAAAAACCCCTGGAGCAACCCCTCAGCTGCTCCTCATACTGGAGTTGTGTCTTTGCCCTCTCAGAACAGGGTCATCGCACGACCTCACAGTCCTTAGGGTAGGTCTGGCACAAGCAGACCAGGAGGAAGGGTTGTCACAGCACGAAGGCTCTGCTGGTGACACTAAAGGAGGTAATGAAGGGTGGAATACGATCCTTGGTGGCTTGCCTTCCTTTCTTCCTTCTTAGATTGATGTTTGATTTATGGCAGTCATTGGTGCTAAATATTATAGGCTTACCTGAATGTTTCTTTTATTTCTATTAAAAGTAAATTACCTGTGTTCAGCATAATGTAGAGAGTGGTAGTTATGAAGCTGCTCAGTCATCACACTTTTATTGATCTTTACCAGTGTGCATTAGAGTCAAGGCATGCTGTTAAGTTTGATGCTCAGTCTCTTTAGAGTACTTGACCAGTGGTTCTACTAGTTTTAGTAGTAGATGTGGCATCAAGGCTTGGTCAGTTTGAGGCACAGTGTTAAAAGATGTGCAGACCTCAACATAATTCAGGGAGTTCTTTCTGACTTCATACTATCATCTAGAAGAATTCCTTGCTGGAACTACTAGAGAAATGCTTCAGCTGTTCAAAGCTGACACTGCTTTCTCCTCAATCTGTGCTGAATTTTGGTTGCTCTCAAACAAGGCCACTAAAGAGTTCTGGTATCTGATGGACAACACTTTTCTCTGAGGAAAAGAAACTGTATTAAACCAGAAAGTGTAGAGCCAGTGTTTTCTGATGAGGAAAGGGAAGATTAACTTCAAAAGCTTCAAATAAATGAATAATCTCATTGACTGGAAGATATGTTGGTTTTCTATTCCTTTTTCTGCCCCTCCAAGGAACATAATGTGGGCAGGTAGGAATGAGTGTAATCCAGGAATGGACTGAATCAAGGGAGATGTGAAGAAAGCACTAAAGATAGTGCATGCACAGTGCTCTGCATGCTGTCCAAATGGTGTAGTAGCTTGTGTTCCACTATGATACCTTTTAACTTGGTCGTGGCCCTGTATTGACTAATATGGGAGGTAAGTTGTGTTTGGTCGGGCAGAGCTGGTTTAGTGGGCTGAGCTTTTTCTTCTAGTAATAAAACCAGTATCAATTCAGCAGTTGTCAGTTGTCCTGCTCAGTCAGAAGCCGTATTTACTCACAGCTTCACCTGATCAGGACTCTGATGTCAGGTTGCAGTTGGTATCTGGAAGGAAAGTTGCACAGGAGCTAAAACTGTTCTCTTAGTGCTTCTGCTCCTGGGTTTATAAAAGAAGATTTTGATTCCTTGGCCCTTTGGAAAGAAAGGTGCATCTTTGTCTTTGCCTTAGCACTTAATGGTTTTATTTCTTTTAATTCTCCCCTCACACGTCTCCCCAGCTCTTCTGAAAAGCATCACTTGTGCCAAGTAAACTCAAACAGATCAGGCAAGACAATAAAGAATTACAACAGCACTTGGAACGTACCAGCCCAAGAATACCACGGATGGTGACAAGTGCTCTGTCTCTGCTTGACACTTCACATGCTGGGAGATGGAGCTAACAAAATGGCATTGTTTATTGTTTTATTAATTGCTGCAGCTCATTAATGCAACTTAATTACACTTATATTTCCCCTGTCCTTCAGCCCATTCCCTCCCCTCAAAATTATCCTGTCAGAAGAAAATCCATCAGGATGGTGCCAGTCTTGTGCCTGGAATAAGAGCGGCCGCTCGGTGAAGAAGGCAGGTACAAACATCTCTGATCCATGAAGAGCTAAGCCTCTTCCAGTGTCCTGCAACAGGCTTCAGCTGTGTATATGGCTACACCAGTGTTAATTTTATGTAGATGGGCAAACCCAGAGTAAATTACAGCTGCTCTGAGAATGGCTTGGCATGTTGAAATGGGGTGAAGCTCCATGCTGAGTAAAGATTTGGTGCTTGTACTAGTTTTTAGCTGTTCAGCATTATAGGAGTTAGGTCACTGAACACTGAAATCCAGGACAAATGCTACTACTAAGGTGCTGACCATGTCTAAAGAATAGAGAATGAGGAAAGGAGTCCTGGATGGGGCAGGGGAGAAGGGAAGAGTTCTCATCTATAACTTAAAAAAACCCTGAAAAAGCCTAAAGAACTCAAATGTAAATAGCCCCCACCTAGTTCTAGCCAGGCAGGGAGGAGATGAAGTTGTGTTAGGGGGTTTAGGCTCTTTTCAGAACAAGGTGAAGAAGGGGAAGAAACTAACTACAGAGCATATGAAATGTCCCAGGGTGTTATGCAGTGCTTCCTCCTTTATGGATCCATGGCGCAAGGAAGCAGCTCCGACTCCACCTGTGTCTCTTGAGAGAGGCTCTTTGTGAACATGTTCTGCAAGAGGTCTTCAGGCCTGTGCCATTTATCAGCTGGTACCACCAGACTATGGTAGGAATGGTTCATCAGGGCACTTGGAGAATTAAACCCCAACCTCGTGGCCGTTCTTCAATGTACATTCATTGCAGTTGGAAAGAAGACAAGGAACAAAAAAGTGGAATGGAGTTCACCATCCTGCATTTCCTCTGCCAAAGATCCAGGCCACAGGGCATTGTTTCCTGCAGCACCTTTGGAGTGCAAGGTTTATCCATCCTCTGGCTCCTCTTTACTTATGCAGGCCTGTAGGGAAGGGGAAAAAATGAAGGCAGGGCATCAGTATGGAGCAAGTACTAAGTTGCTTAAGACAACAGAAATGGTGTAGAAATAAGGTACTTTTTTCCTTTCTGGGTTTTTAAATATGATTGACTAGAGATGAGGAATAGGGTTGAGAGCTCAGAAGTAATGTGGTTAAGTACTTCTCAAGTCTGGGAAGAATGCTATACCAGACCTGAATGTACTGCAGTTAGACTAAGGAATAGATAGGAGCCGAAGTGTTAGATCTATATATCCTCAGCATTTGGAGCTGCCTAAAATTTGGTTAGGAAATTTAAAAGCCATTTAAGTTCATCTCTAACATCAAGCAGCTTCTTGAAATTGCAGTGATGTGCTGCTTGTGTAGATGCAGCAGTATGAGCAGATCTACTTCTGTAGCCAGCAGCAAAGATGAGTGAATGT